TCTCATGTTTCATAGTTGATGTTAATTGATTTCTAGTAGCTACAATAGCTATGTTGGTTGAACTATTTGAGAAGTCCAAGGTATTAAATTTTTCCAGCCTTATTTCAAATTTTTGTAGCAAAAACTTTGCTTCTTGTGAGGAGACAAAATCCACTTTAGACTCAATACGTGAAGTTAAATTCACAATAGCCACATCATACTCTGGGCCAAGACCATCTAGGACATATTGGAGAAGATCCTCATCTGATATGGATTGTCCACTATCAGATATATTGTCCGCAATCTCCTTCATTTTCTTGAAGAAACTATTTATGCTTAAGTCCTTCTTATGAGTATTTTGCAACAAATTCTTTAAGTGGAAGGCTCTAGCCTTAGAATCTATTTCAAACTCATTCTCTAGGACAAACCGTATTTCACTTGAATGACGAAATTTAGAGACATGACCAAACATACTTTCTGAAATTGAGGCTAACAACCAACTAACCAAGAATTTATCAGTACGTTTCCAAACAACATAAGCTGGATTATTTTCCTCTGTGACTACATTTTCTTTGTCTACAGTTTCACCAACAATTCCAGAGTTATCTTTCTTGCTACAAATGAGTGGTGGAGGACAAGAAACTATACCTATCAAATGGTCTTCCAATGTATGAGCACCCACGGCAAACAGAACTTGCGACCTCCAAAACCGATAGTTGTCAATAGTGAGCTTAGGGTTAATCACTTGTAGGCTGGATAAGAACACAGGCGAAGCAAAAATACTGGAATTGCTAAAGTTATTCAGCATCTTGTCGGTGTTAATGAACTTAGAAGGATCGAATTCAACCATTGGTGTTTGTCAAAGCTCTGATACCATGTGGAATTTTGAGAGTAAAGGTGTTGAAGCTTAAAGAAAGAATTGGGGAGAAAGAAAGAGAACGAAAATTGTTATTAACAGAACTTTCTATTGACAAAGCTTAAGGATCGAAATACGGCTAACTTCTCTTTATATATGCAGAGAAGTTCAGTTGAAGTTCTACAAATAATAGAAAAGGAAGGAAACTGGTCAAAACGACACAGTTTTGGTAAAATTGAAATTGAAGACTAAAACGACAGTGCTTTAGACTTGGCCCAGGTTTGACTTACTGACAGTCAAAACAAACGAAAGAACTTGTAAAAGAAAGAAAAACCAGAGAGTAAAGCTGATTCAGTAGCTTAAAGTTTTCATTGATTAGAGTTTACAATTTCTTCTATTATATAAAGAAGAATGAAACTACACCGTATAACATCTGCGCCTAATTACTCAGCTGCGTCTAATTACACAAACAGCATAACATTTGTGTTTATTTACAAAACTGCCACTTTCAACATTTGGTCAACANGTAGCATCGAAATTTAAGTCTGTTTAGCAAATCAACTCCAAGGGTTTGCCTGAGGTAGGAATGATGTTGTGTATAATTGTTCTTAGTCTTGTTTAGATATTTTATTTTTGGATCCTATCCCAGGGCACGTCCTGTGATAGGATATTTTTGTCTTTGTATTCCTTTGCTTGGTCCTCTCATCCTGTCTCATATCATTTACGTGTTTAAGATAGACAAATAAGAGAAGATTAAGTTCTTAATCTTTTAGGTTTGTGTTTTCGTTTTTAATCCAAGACATGTCCTGAGATAGAATGACCCCTTTTTTTATAGCCTCTTGTACATTTTTTCTCTTTTCCAATGATACCACTTACTTACCCAAAAAGAAGAAAGAAAAAGAGAAAATCCTCTAAGAGGCGGACAAAATAAGCTCCACATGCATGCTGTCACCATTGTTGTTATTAGATTAACAAATGTGCTAATTAAATACATTCAGCTAGCTTTGTTTTCTAATTATAATATATAATAAATAATTTTTTAAAGCTTCCGCAGAGAAAGCTGGAGCCAAACACGCTTAACTTTTCTTTGCCTTTGACGTCGAAATATATATATATATACGGACGACCCATATGATATAATATAAGTAACACGGAATAAAAGAAGAAAAATAGCAGCCCAAAGCAAGAAGCCCTGCAGCATAAATCTTTTTAGTCAAACAAGAAGACAATGAAGATCGTTTTAGAGAAACGGAGTAGATAGTCAGCATACTTATAATTAGCATTTTGCCAACTTAGCTAAGTTTACCACCCAAACAATAGGAGTGACATGACACCATGTTTATATATGTCAGCTCCACCGCATGCAACTCTTTATAACTCTCTCGACACTTTCCATTATACGGACACAATTCACCTCTGCCTTTTTTTCCATAAAGAGGCTTTTACTTCAACATTTACACTCTACCCATAAGTAGTTCCATTTTCTTTTATCATTTCTCTTTCTATTTAATCCCCAATCCCACCAAATTAATAAAGTGATGATGGAAAATGTTGGTGTACAGAAGACTTAAAATGTACGGGAAAGTGATAGTAATAGTAATAACAGTAGATAGAAGTGTAAAGGGAAGGCAAGACTCAAGAGTGAGAGAGAAGATCAATATTGTTATTGTCACAAGTCACACAGTAGAATGATGCTTAATTGCGTGAAGCAATCGAGAGAGATATAGATTCTTATTGATTTTTCTTCCTTTTTCTTTTATATATATAAATAAATATAGAAAATAGAGAGAGAGATGTTAGATGTAGCTAGCTGGGTCACCACGAGGAATGATGTGGCGTGTTAATTGTTGAATATGCCTTCAAAATCGAGATAGATTTTAGGCCGTGGTTGCCTGGCCTGGCTGGGGCTCGAGGCAAACTTCATACTCCCACTCATTTTGATATATGGGTTCCTGACTTTGTGGGGGCAACTCTTAACATTATATTTTTATGCCTAGTTAAAAGCTGCCTAGTGCCTAGATAACATGTCTTGTTTCAAAAAACATTTGTTAATATTTTAAATACAAATAATCTATACAAATTGATGTCTCATTATCAAATCATTTTTCTTCATTTGTTAAGTATTTTTATTAGTTGAATCTCCAAATCTAATCGAATTTTTTATTTTGTGTCATCTTAAGTACTATATATAAATATTATATACAGAGATATGTATAATATAATTTTTTATAAAAATCATCAGAGTAGTTGAATTTACGGGCCATGTGGAGCAATAGTTTTGGCATTGACTGGCTAAAATTGAACGAATCAAAGCCAATATACGCAATTGAAGAGCTTTTTGGTTCCAGAGTCCAGACTGTTGACAGTTCTGTTGGTCTTCGTCTATTGGCTTGCAAACATGAATCCAATTAGAAATTGACGTAGGTAGTGAGGATTTTTTTTTCTAATCTGATATTTGACGCCAACCATGTGTACGATACCACTAGAGAATATGATTTCAACCCAAAAATATCGGATCTAGTAACTTTAGTTCACTGCTTCGAAATTCGAGGAACACGGTGTGTATTCAAATAAATCAACTATATAGTATATATGCATACTGAAATGATTCTTTACTAATATATTGGAGGGAAATTTATATGTTTCGGAAGCCAAGAACAACAGATCTGGTGATCTCTTTAATTTAATTCTCTGAAGAAAACACGTTTAATGTTCAAAAAATTATGAGCAAATCAACTTGCGTACTGAAATATAATCTTTATAAATGTGTATAGAAGTGAAATTATTATGTTACTAAAACCAAGATGAAGATAGGCTGTCGGCAATGAACCCATAATGTGTGTTGTATTATTATATTTACATAAATATATAAACTATGAAAGACTATACCATAACTTTAATCCGGGTAAAAGTCAGAATCTGTTATGATACTATGTTAAAAATTATAATTTATTCTGATGCTATATCAAAAATTAGAGGAGTAAAAACTAAATAAAGAACAGTAACAACACACAAAGGCATATAATATTTTATATGGTTCTACATAATTTGTCTATATCGATAAATAAGATAGTTTCATTATAATCTTAAGAACATAAATGCTAGAACATACAATACCATTAACCCTTCTACTTAGGTGGATGCCCTCTTCCTATGCATTTAATACCCCTTCTCACATTTTATGTTTCTCACATTCTCCCTTCTCTTAATTAGATTCTCTCATACCTTTGAATTGATTCTGATCCCTTTATTTATAGATAGAATAGTACATTCTTTTTCTATTAGGATTCGTATTTCAAATCCTAATAGACTCCTCTAATTTAATTCATTCTCATATTTTAACTCTAAATAAAGTCATAAACCAATTTTTTTTCCTAATAAAACTCATTGAAAAAGAAAAAACAAATATTCTCAAATACAAACTCTTAAAATAGAAATTTGCATAAAACTTAATTTTTGTTTTTTCTTGGTAAGTAAATAGTATCATTGAAAGAGATAAAGAATGTACAAAGAGATCATAAAAAAATTGACCATCCTGCCTCAGGACAGGCCATGGGAAAGGAACAAAAACACAAGTCTAATAGACTAAAAACATAATCTTTTCTTGTTTGCTTATCTTAAACACGTGAAGGATATAAGACAAAAAGAGAGGAGCAAGCAAAAGAACACAAAAACAAAGATATTCTACCACAGGACATGCCCTGAGATAGGATTAAAAAAAAAAAAAAAACTTAAACAAGAATAGGAACAACAATACACAACATCATTTCTTTTTCTTCTTGTTTTCCTTTTCTTCTTCAATGTCTTCATGAATTACCAGAAAAAATGTTCACATTCCAACAAATCCCAAATTAAAAATGAGATTTTTATATTTAACAAATGATCCAATAGTTGGGGGAATTGATCAATTGAACGACAGATAATTGAAAGAATGGCGGTTGAAGAGTGTTTCCCCCTCGGGCATCTTTGTGATTAAATAAATAACACAATGCCTAGCACGTCTTATTAAGATAATCCAATTTTTTATATATTCTATATATTTACTCTCTCCATCTCCAACTTTCCTCACGTGATTCTATATTTAACTGTTTATAAGTAGTCATATGTGTATATAAAACACAAATTCACAACACTCAAACGTCACAAATTCTCTGTGGCCACTTGAATGGTGTGAAATTTATTGTAATTACTCGATCGTGTTCTTTTTATTAGCTTCCCTGATCTCTTTCATTTGTATTATCTCTTGTAAAAAAAATAAAGAAGAAGAAGAAGAATGGGAAGAGCCCCATGTTGCTCAAAGGTGGGTTTGCGTACAGGTCCATGGAGTGCAACAGAAGATACTTTGCTAACTAATTATATTCGGGTACATGGTGAAGGCCATTGGAGAAATTTGCCAAAAAGAGCTGGTACTAAACTAGGCTTCCTAATTAGCTAGCATTATAATTCCCTAGTATATAGATTGCTTAATTCTGGCATGCATGGCGCATGAAAATGATGAAATTCAATTATCTTCATAGGCTTGTTTTTTTTAACTTTTTTATATTTGGTTTGTTTGCAGGATTGCTTAGATGTGGGAAGAGTTGCAGGTTAAGATGGATGAATTATCTGCGACCAGACATAAAGAGAGGAAACATTTCTTCTGATGAAGAAGACCTAATTATCAGGCTTCATTCTCTTCTTGGTAATCGTTGGTCTCTCATCGCAAAAAGACTACCAGGCCGAACTGACAATGAGATTAAAAACTACTGGAATTCCAATCTTAGTAAGAGAGTGGAAACAAGTAGAGTAACTCAACCAAAAGCAGCAAGAGTGGTCAAGAAAAAGAACCAGTCCACCAATGGCAAGAAACAAAAGAGCAATAACGACGACAACGACAGTAGTAATACTGCAAACGAAGAGATTACGAAGGTGAAAATTTATCTCCCCAAGGCAGTCAAGGTTTCCCCATATTCTTTTGCAATTAGAAGCACGGGTTTCGATAACATGGGAAGTGGTTCATCATCACCTTCCGATGGGGAAAAAAACATAATAAGATCAAATGACACAAATCCAGTTGCATGGTGGCCTGATCTTGTCGAAGAAAAAGCTACTAATTCTGAGGTGGGCGGTAGTTGTCGCAATGGAGAACCTAGTCTTGCAAATTATGGAAGTGATTTTTCATTCTTGGACTTTGTTCCTATTGAAGGTAACATGCTAGATGAAATCATTGGGGAGTATCAGCAGCTTCTTAATTTTGAGGAAGACGTTCAACTAGATTCCTTTGAGGATCTTCTTTCTGTTTAATATATTATAATGTAGTTTGGAGTGATTCGTGCATCAGATCTATAAATGTTGCGTACTTAATAAGTGTGGTCCTATGATTTAGGTGAACTGGGCATATTATTGTGCTGCTTTCACGTTCCTACCTTCTCCATATATATATATATATTATATATATATATATATATATACTATAAGTTGTGGTCCTCTGATTTAGTGAACTGGCATATTATTGTGCTGCTTTCACGTTCTTACCTTCTCCTATATATATAAAATATAATATATATATATAATATATTATATACTTAATAAGTGTGGTCCTCTGATTTAGGTGAACTGGGCATATTATTGTGCTGCTTTCACGTTCTTACCTTCTCCATATATATATATATATATATATATATCTGTGTGTGTGTGTGTGCGCGCGCGCGTGCGCGTTCATGGAACCTTAAATTAATATAGATTACGTATATATTTCTTGCTTTAATTAGTTAATTTATAAATCATATTCTGCAAGAAAGAATTAACTTTATTAATGTGTATGCATGCTAACAATTAATTAACATTGGATCTTGTACAGAAAATATATTGATGCCCACATCAAAATAATCAACCAATGCAAATTAACAAGAATGTAATTATGGCATTTGGGCATATCCATGGTTATTTTCATTAGAATATATTGTACAACATCGATTTTTAGTTAGTGGGGTCAATTAAAAGCTCAAGTCCAAAATCTTATAACTTAAGCTTTTCAAACAATTTCTAATAACCCAAAAAAATTCAAATCATAAAACCTTGAAAAGTCATCAAACCAAGCTCTAAATATCAAGTAATTAACTAATATATCAAAATTTAACCAAATCCCAAAATCTCTACAACTTAGGGTTTCATCAATTCTTTAAACCCAATTTATCAAACCCAACTTAAAACAACAACTAATTAACTCATATTTCAACATAAATAAGATTAAATCAAAACTCATATCAAAATCTAGGAATTTCATCTTCTCATTTCAAACTCATTTATTAAATTCAACAAAAATTCATAATTTATGATCTTTCATCAATTAAGAAAGATAAAAGAAGAGATTTTTAAGCAAAATAATAATAATAATAATAAAGAGTATCGTCTTGCATTGTGATCTTCAAATGAGTAGGTTTTCTTGTTTAATCCAACTAAAGGAATAAGAAAATATGAGAGAAGAGGAGAGGAAATGAAGAAGACAAAGAAGAGAGAAAATGTGAAAATTTGTTAACTTTTTTTTAATATAAATTTTTGTGGGGTCAATATAAATTTAAGTAAAGTATAAACTTTTTTTTTAATTTTTTTCAGACTTTGAATGGGTTCAAGTGAACCCATATTTAATACGTTAGCTACGTCCCTCAACATGTCATTTCAAATATATAGGTTTACATTTACTTAAGATATTTTTATTGATGGTTTATTGACTCTAAATGTTATTATAGTTGAAATATTGATGTTTTATTGACTCTTATTCTAGTTGAAATCCTGACATTTAATTTGTCAACTGTTTTTGGATTGATAAAGGGAAACAAGAATGTCAAATTTAGTAGGTTGAATTGAGATTCGTACTACGTATCCTTAGTGAGCTGAATTGAGGTTGTCAAATCTTGTATGATGGTCTAAGAAAGCATGCTCAATTCTTTAATTATGATGTAATCGTTGATTATGTTGTTTAGAAAAGTCAGAATAATTTATAGAGTGAACGATGAAGAGATAATTAGTAGTTACTTCTTTATGGACTATTAAATTAAGTCCATGCAATAATTATTATTTCATTTACAAAATAATAAAAATGAACAACTTACCTATATTTCCAGTAGAGTCCAAAAAGAAGGATTTCCCAGTTCCCACTGCAAAGGTAACTGAAAGAGATGCTTTCATAGAATACAAACAGCTCCCAATTTTTTCAAAACTTTATTAAAAGAAAATAAGATCAGACTTCCATGAATATGATTCACAACTGATTGATAAATACAAAAGTCAAGAGGGCTGATTGCATGGCCAATTATGTGGTAAACAAGAAGCACCTTTTGTTAGATTTTTTTTAGAGGTCAGCCAAGTTGCCAGTCTTGTGGATTATATTATCGTTCAAATCTCAAACAACGTAACGAGTTACGAGACCAAGGATTCTGGAGCACGTTATATTTCCTGCATTATATTCTGCTCATGCGTATGCTGTTCACTTTTACTACTCCAATTTGCAACTTCATCCCAATCACTCCTCGTAATTTAATAAGTTCTTGTTATAATATAAATAATTACTTCTGGGTGATTGAGTGATTCGACAAGGGACTCTTGAGTTCGAGTCTCTCACCTGTTACTAATAAGGGTAACCATTAAAGCTTTTAGCTGGTCGATAGTTCTAGGGTTTTAGGAAATTATTTGAGATACATGTAAACTGATCCGACACTCACGATCATCACAAAAAAAAAAAAGGGTTCTTGTTCGTTGAGTTAATTCATATATTCAATAATTCAAAGTCTTGATGCTTGGTCAGTACAACAAAATAATGTAGATCGATCAAAATACTTTTAAGATCTGATTTACCTACTGTTGATCATATGGTTTAAAATATGTATATTTTAATTATTCATTGTTTTGGGAACACAATTGAATGTGTGGTCTAAATGATAGGGATTCTTCTCTTCCATTCACGAACAGTCTCCGTAGTGCCAGCAAACTCAAGAATCATAGTATAAATCTAAAACGTGGTAGCTCTTGGCCAAAAAAAATTTGAGGAACACTAGCTGGATTTAAAGCTTGCTCCAGTCCAAACTCAAGATACGATTGTATTTGTTATGCCCAAAAACCAGGGCTGACATAAGCTTAAATCAGTAGAAGTCAATCAGAATTTAGGAAGGTTTTCTGCCATTTGGATACAGCCATGTCCCGCAAGGACAAGAGGGGTAAGGTCATCGCCAGTGAGGCAGGTGAACGCCAAACTTATGAGTGACTAGGAATTGTCTACCTATTGAAGCCCTACGCGATTTAAGGATATCTCTCGTATAGACAACCAATAGGAAACGGGTTAGGAATTGTACCACACCTGCCCGCACGTAGATTCATAATTACCAGCTTGAATCCTTCGACTATAAATAGAGGGTTCTCCTCTATTTTATAGGATTGGCTCATCCACCGCACAAAACATACTCTCTCTCTCTCTCTCTCTCTCTATTTTTATTTTACTTTTTCTATTGTAGTTCAGCTCGCCGAGTGCGACTTGATTGTAATCAACCATTAATATAATCACAGTGGACATAGGATCTGCCTTAGAACATCCGAACCACTTTAAAAATTGCTACCTGCTCAATCTCTCTTTTTACACTTTCGTACCACGTGTGATTTCTAAGTCCGCCTAGCACTTCACATGCATGAATAGTTGGTGTCAAAATCAAGCATCAAAAGTATTATTATAATCTTATGAAGCAAACGACAACGGATTCATGTAACAAAATAAGTTTACATTGTGTGCAAAATAATAATAAACTTTACAGATTTTGTGCAATAAAAATTTGAGTATATAGCTCAACTCCAGTCCAAGCTCTGGTTATATAGTCATCCTTTTCGTTTCTTGTTTTAGGTAAAGAGGTGATATTATAAAGAATAAAGAATCAGACCACCAAGGAGGTTTCTTAGAGAGTTAGGTTTCCTGGACATGCCCAAGGACCAAACAAAAAACAATAAAAAGAAGCCAGGATTTACAATCCCTATGAACCAACAAGCTAGTCTTGATGAAGCATACACATAAGCATATCAGCATCACAAAAATAGGGCAGATATTTGATAAAGTGGGCTTGGGTAGAACTCACTCCCAAAAGCTAGTTCAAGGAAGGAGGGAGCCCAACCATTAACATACACCGTAATAGCCCACTATTGGGGCGGTGTGAGACAAATTCAACTTCTAACACCCTTTTTCGCGCTCAGCGTGCAAGACAAAGGTCCAAACCCATCATCGCCCCAACCAAAGAGGGGAGAGAAACAAATATGGCTCTAATTCCATGATAAAATTTAAGGTAGGTCTAACTCCTCACCTAATAAGGCCTTATTGGGTGAGGAGTCAAGCTCACCTCAAATTCTATCATGATATCAGAGCTAGGCCTAGTTGAGCTGAGTGCTTGACTAGCGGGTGAAGAGTTAGAACCCACAACTACCTCCATTAATAGGCATGATCCAACATATATAGGCTTGACTGTAAGGGGGAGTGTTGGAGTCCAACACCGACTAAGCATGCTTAAGTCTACTGGTTTATAAGAGAGAGTAATCCTTCTATTCAATAAGACCTTATTGGGTGAGGAGTCAAACCCACCTCAAATTCTATCACTATTGTAATCTATACACAAAGACCAACCACCAAAAGCCCAATACATACAAAAAGAATCAGTAGACATTGCACAATTATATTATTATAATCTTATTAAGCAAACGACATATGATTCATGTAACAAAATGAGTTTACATTGTGCAAATGCAATAAAAAATTGAGTATATACTTATTGATGCTTGATTTTGACACCAACGACTCGCACTTGCAAAATGCTAAGAGAGTCTTAGAAATTACACGTGATGGATCCATGAGATTTGAATATGGTGCTGAGATTATATATGTTGCAGAAACATAAATATGGTTGCTGAGATTATATAGTTGCAGAAACATAAAAAAAAATATGGCAAGAGAGGTTTTTATAGTGGTTCGGATGTTTAAAGTAAATCCTACATCCACTGTTATTTATATTCTCCAACCATTTCTATGATATTACCCGTAGGCATAAAAATAGAGAAAACTTTGTTTACAGAGAGAAATAATGAAGCTCAAATGTTTGTCTACCTCTCCTTGCCAGGTTCTCCTTTTTGTAAAGAGAGGTGTCAATTTATGCACCTTCGAAGTCATGTAATGAGTGCTTTGAAGTTATCTTGACACATGGAGAGCTCTCATTCATCCTTATCTTAAAATGAGATAGGGGTTATATAAAAAATATCTGAGGCAGTATGGGCTTGCAGCTAGTCACTTCATTTTTTAGACACT